CCCCAGGAGCAGGTGACTAGTAGGCTACAAAGTGCACCCCGTTATTATGATAAACAGCAAACGTGATCTGCTTGGACTGGGGTGGTGGGGGTGAGGTGGGCAAAGCGCTGCCTGCAGGCCGCTGGGTGCGGGTGGCTCCTCCTCGGTAGGAGCTGCTCTCACAGCTTGTCCTGACTGCTGTGTTTGTCTCCTGGGGTCTGAGCAGGGGGTCTGGGTCCTCCGGCCGTGGCCCAGCCTCTAATGTTACCTTCACCCACCTGCCTTCTGAAGCTGCCTGCCTGCCTCCGACCCACTTCCTTCCCCACTGATTACGGGCACCATCTGTCCCCGCTTGTCTAGAAGCCCAGTTTTATTATTTCCTTAATATGCGTGATTTTAAAATGCATCTAAGTAAAGATTAGGAAGAATTTTTACGCAAGTAAATTCATAAGTCAGGAAATAGTCCCATGCAGACCATGCCCGTAGAGGTGGTATCTGAACAGCTCCCCAGTCCTCTGTCCTAACCTTCACCCTGTGGAGCCTGCGTCCTTGGAGAGGCCTTCCTTTAGTGCTCACTCTGAAACAGCCCTTCCCCTTCACCTCTAGTGTGCCCAGGTCTGCTGTGTGAAAATAGCTGGTTCCTTGTCGATTTCTGCTGGCCCCCCAGTGGGAACTGTGGGAGAGCAGGAACACTGTCCCATTCACAGCATGTCCCAGCACCCAGGTCAGCACCTAGTGCACGCCAGGTGTTCCTGGGCTTGTTGAGTTTTCCCAGACTTCCAGCACCAGCATCTTGTTCTGGCCCACTGCTTTCAGCCAGGAACCTGTAAATCCCGGACACCTTCCAGGAAACATTCCAAGTCCTTAGCTGATGCCTTTGAGTCATCAGGAGAGCTGCATGTGCCACAGCTGTCTGTCCCTATGGCAGATGGACCCAGAGGGAGCTGGGACACCAGCCAGCTCTCCAGGGGCCCAAAGACTTGGAAAATGGTGACACTGCCCCATGGTCCCGTGCAGACAGCAGCAGGTCCTCCTGACCCTTGGCCCTCACCCAGGCCTCTCGGAGAACTAGTCCTCAGCTTCCAGGGTCAAAGAGTTCCTAGGATGTGACAGGTCAAAACTGGTCCTAGGCTTCTCCTGGAATCTCCCTGTCCTGGGAGGGGAAGGAAGTCATGTTCCCTTTCACTTGAACAGGGAATGAGGAGATTTAGCCTGGGGAGCTCTGGAGGATGTTCAGAGCTCCAGTTGCCAGGGGAGCTGGGTGCTGTCTTTGCAGTGTCCCTGGACCAGCTAGCCTGGCCAGTTGCTTTTCTCCCACAGGGCAGTGCCTCTGACATATCAGCTTTTCTGGAAGGCTCTCTCCGGGCTGCAAGTTGCTGCACTGAGCTTTTGGGTAGAGGCTGGTCTAAGCATTGCATGTAGCGGTGAACAGTCACCAAACACCTTGTGTGTGTGTCTCTCCCCAGCCCTGATTTCAGTCTGCTCTCCTGCCTCACAGCCACTCGGCTATTGTCGCTTCCCTCTGCAGAATCTGGGGATCCCTTCCAGCAACAAGCAGGGTATCCTGGCACACGGTGAGACTCGGTAAACGTTTGCTCAACAGCATTCTCTGGCTCCATGCACTTTCCCCACCAACATCCCCCCAGTCCTTTCGCCTGAGTCTGCTGCCCCCTGCACACCGAAAGAGCACACCCCAGGGCTTGCCAGACCAGACACTGTGGTTAGAGGGTCAGGCTTCAGAGCTGATGTCTGGTGACAGTCCCCTGAGGCTGGTGATCTAATAGTGGGACCCTGACCCCCAGCACACCCTCGCTCCCATGACAGAAAGCCAAGCAGGGCCCTTAGGGCCCTGGCCCCTCACCCCTCGCACTGCGGGGTGCACACTGACCGTCACAGTGCTTCCTCCTCCAGAGCCGCCCCTGGTCTCCATTGTAACGTGCTCTCTCAATAGCTCAAAGCTGAGTGTGAGTGTGAGTGCATGTGTGTGTGTGAGTGGGGGTCACCTCTCTGGCCCTGCATCCCTAGCTCCTACTCAGTGCCCACCCATCAGATGGCACCCCTGACTGGAACCCCCCAGTCGTGTCACGGCCTGGCTCAGAAATGTGTCACCCTAGAGTACAGGGCTGATACTGCTGTGGCCACCCAGCTGCCCCCGAAGACTCCAGGGCTGAGGGCGTCAGAAGGTCCTCTGGCTCCGGAATCTCGCCAGTGAGACCCTCAGAGTTCAGGTGGGCCCTCCCTCTCGCAGAATGAAAGAAATACAGCTGACACAGTTTGCTCAAGAGACATATTTCAATATAATCTCTAAAACTCTATGAATTGAACAGATAAAATACTTCTGGGCTATTTTGTTACAAAATATTTGCCATTTGGATTAGTTCCTGGGAGCAGCCACCCTGCCTTCCTCTCCCTGGAGAGGCTCCTCTTCGATGGGCTGAAGGGGCGTCTGTAGGGGGGGTGCAGCAGGGAGGATGCAGCCTAACACGGGGCAGACAGGGAGTTATCAGGGAAGCCTATCGGGTACAAAGAGACATTCTGGCAGGCTATGGGGGAACAGCTGGGGTGGGGGTGGAGTTAAGGATTTCAGGGGTCAAGGCCCCAGGGCTGATAAAGGTGTGTGCCTTTGGACACAGGCGGGCAGGGAGGCAAGCTTCTAGGTCAAGTTGCCCAGGCAGGTCTGGAGGTGGGACTTTCCCAAAAGTGGGTGAAAAAGCTAGTTTCATCTCTACTCCTAATTCTAGAGCTGGAGCCAAATGGATAAACTTGAGAGGGGCTCAGGTCCCCCAAAGTAAGGCCTAGAGAGTTGGTGGAGTGGAGTATGTCAGGGTAACTGGGCACACACCCAGGAGGCTGTGTCCAGTGGCTCGGCTGTCAAGCACTGCCCCTCAGTGTGGGAGAGCAGGAGGGCCCGTGAGCATCTCTGGCTGGGCCTCTGCAAGGTCAGGAGGCTTGGCCAAAGCCTCCAGGGGCCAGGCCCTGGGGGCGGGGACAGAGGTGGGTCCCAGCCTTAGCCCGTTGGCCTACCAGGGGAGGGAGGATACAGGTGCTGGGGACTCTTGCTCTTTTAACAGTGGGGAGGCCCAGCTGCACCTTGCCCCAGGCCACTGGGGATTAAAAGCCCCTCACAGCTCAGGCTTGGCCCCACGTGCTGCTGAACCTGGGAAGGTCTACATCCCAGGCCAGGACTCCCAGTGCAGCTGGTGGGGCCCAGGGAGCCACCAAAGTGCTGGGGTCGGGGGCTGAAGCCCCCTTGACCTGACCGGGTTCTCAGAGAAAGTCAGGGATGCAGCCGAGGTGGGAGAAAGGGGCCAGAGTTGCTGTGCCCGTTGACAGGGAGGATAGCACTTTGTCACCTGGAAGCACTGTGTGAGCAGCTGACAAGGGGCCTGATGGCCAGGGCTGGGCTCCTTCCTCACCAGCCCCTGGCACTCATGGCCTCCACTCCACAAACACGTTCAGTCACCTCAAACCTCCTCTTTCTTCCTAACTCCTCCTCCCTGATGTCTGTCCATAACTCTCCATTTCTGGCCCCTCATTCAAGATCCCCTTGCTCCCACCCCCACGACTCTGCCCCTGCTGCCTGGATCTTGCCCTTCAGGGGGGACCCTGCCCTGGCCAAGGGCGTCAGATGTGTCTGAATTCGTGTGCCCCACCTGTCAGCCACCCTGTTCTGAAAGGCTCTGATTGTAGTGTCCCTGTCACAGGAGAGATACAGCAGAGGGGGCAGGACAACAGGACAAAAACAGCTTGGCTGTGGAGCCACAGTGGAGGAGGCAGTAACTGGTCACAAGTTATGGAATCCAGACTAACAAAGACATGGCCAGAAACAAACGCGCTGGGTGACATCGTATTGACATTTGGTGACTCCACACATACAAACACAGCTAGGTCATCTGGAAGTACAGAGAGCGGAAAAAGAACTGGGTCTTCTCGATGGCCCAGGGGACTGCAGTGGGACGAGGGGTGGGGTCTGGGAGAAGCACATTCATTTTAGACCTGGTCCATGTTCACCTCCATCACTTGGGCTGCTTGGGTGATGGGCTCCAAGGAGGAGGGAAGCCCAGCGCAGGCCTTGGGTGATGGCCCTGGGCTGAGGAGTCCAGGCTGGCTCGGGACAGATGCTGCCTGAAAGGCATGACCAGGGCCAGGGACCTCCTGTGGTCTTTGAGGGGGGCTTCCCAGGCTTTGTGGGGTCACCTAAAGGTTAACTCCCCAGTGCTGCTTGGTCCTGAGGGGGTCAGGGAGCCCCACTTTGCTCTCCTTTGCAATTTGGAGGGTATAGGAACTCTTTTAGTGCCCCCTGCAGGAGGTGGACCTGGTGCCTTCCTGGGGGAGGCCTGGAGGTGGGAGATGTAAATTAGGCTGAGGGACAAGCTTGGGATGGCAGCATGGGAAATGCAAGTGCCCGTGGAGCACCTGCTTCTCTCACCCACTTCTGCATCCAAACCCCCCATGAAGGCCCCAGAGTCATGCAGTAGGGAGCCCTGTCTCGCTGGCTGCATCTGTCCCTGGGGCAGACCGCTGCTCCTTCACCCTGTTCTCACATCCACAGTGGAAGAAATTCACCTAGTTCTCACTCGTATTTACGTTTGAGCCCAGTGTGCACTTTGCGTTGGCTGGGTATTATTTGGGGCTAAGGAATAAAACTCTAAAAATGTTCATTTTGTAGACATATGACCTCACGGTTCCATAGCTCTGTTGAATTGACCTAGAGTGAGCTGAGACTCGTACCCCCACCCTCATCCCTTCGTCAAAGCTTTCTTGGAGCCTGGGCATCCCTGGGGCAGGCAGGGCCCAGCTCCAGAGAAAGAGCAGCGGGGAGGAGGTGGTCAGGACAGCTAACACCGGGGGGACGGACCAGCAGCCTCCCGAGCCTGTCAGGCTTGAGGAAGGCAGGGGCAGCAGAGAAAGTCCCCTCCTCACCCTCCCACTTTCCTGGTTCCTCCAGAGATCCAGGGCCAACCCTTCTCCACCCAGGGTAGCACCTAGTGCTGAGCAGGGAACCAGGTCACCTTCTGTCTGGTGCTTGGGTACTGGCCTCCAGCCCCTGTACCTCCCTCCCAGCCTGAGGCCCAGTGCCCAACAGACGCAGGGTCCAGAAGTTGGGTAGGCCCCCAGTTCCTATTCTCTCTGGTCCAAGGTCCATGTGGCAAGTGGTGGCAGGAGGATGCAGAGGCCTGGCTGTGTCTGGCTGTGCAGGGCCCAGGAGAGTATGGTGGTGTCTCCAGATTTAAGAAGAGCGTGCTCAACTGAGTAAGGGAAGCCTGATCGGGTGAGGCAACTTCAGGTGCTAGGGACTGGGGTCCTCTTTCCAAAACAATAAGGATGGTGTCCAGGAATGCAGAGTGCCAGGGTTGGGGTGCAGCAATGGGGTGGCAGGGGCTCCTGGCAGGAGCCCTCCTAGGATAGCAGTGTTGGGGACAGTCTACACCAGGCTCCTGGAGCCACTGGAGTAGCGGCGTGGGTGCAGCAGGGAGCCTGGTGGGCAGTACTGGTGAGGGTGGTTGTAGGGGGGTGGGGGTGGGGGCAGCGGGGGCTGGTGGATGACCTTGACTGGGGAGCCCAGGCAGCCCAGGGGTGTAGAGCCGCAGGAGTCAGAAGAGGGAGAGGTGTAGCAGGAGAGAGCCTGGCTTAGCAGGGGCTCCATGCGGGCCAAACAGGGCTTGTCCAGGACAATGACCTTGACAATTTGCTGACACTGCAGCAGGGTTCCTGGGGGCGTGGGTGGCAGCAGTGGCAACGGCGCCGGCGGGGGCTGCTCTCTCAGGGGGCTAGGCTGCAGGTCTGGCAGTGGCACCGGAACTCCTCTCTCGGCCCCCAGGCTGGAGTTGTGCTGGGACGTTTGAAGCCTGTTGTGAATTGACACCTAGTTTAGAAACAGCCAGAGAAGCATGAAATGTTACAAGACTAATTCCCAGCTACCAGGACTGGCTACCCTGAGCCTCCCTTCTCCCCTTCCCTGGCTCCCATGTGCATTAGGGGCTCTCGGCCCTCACCTTGACCCACTCCCCATCTCTCCACCAGAGGAAAACTGGCAGCCGACAGAGGTTCTGACCCTGGGTGCAGTCAAGAGACTGACATGTTCTACCACCAACCATGAGTAGCCTCAGTTCTCTAGGCCTCAGTCTCCTTGTCTGTGAGATGGGCAGTTAGACCAAAGACTCTCAGGCTCTGCATAGCTCTGCTTTCTGACTTCATGGACCTGCTGTGTGCCTTTGGGGCCACGGGTACACTTCTCCCCACCTTCCTTTTTACCAGCATCTGAGCTTGAAAAGCAGGGGTAAGGGTCTTTGCCGCCCACCCCCTCTGCCTCCCAGGGGTGTGCTGCGGACAAAGGGAGGTCACAGAGACAGGGTGGCCCACCACTGAGACTTTCCAGCCCTCTCCTCCCTCTGGCTTGGTTGCAGAGGAAGCCTCATTGTCACTGTTGAAGTCAGGAAGGTGCCCAACCCCCAGAGTGCCAGGGGCCCCTGAGAGGTGGTCTGGACCCACCTATCTTCTCGAGACTCCCCTAGGCCATGGCCACACATTCAAGAGCAGCCCAGAGAGCAAAGGCCAGAGTCAGATCTCCAGCTGCCTCTTTAACCCGACCTGGGTCCTGGTTAAATTTATTCTGCTGCAGGAGGGGGTACCCAGAAAAGACTCTAATCTTTATTTCCTAGGTGGAAAGTAAGGAGGTGGACCCCTCCCTCCAGTCATGGAGGTCACTGTGAACCAACTTAGCCTCCTCTTGCTGGCAGGGGGAGTGGGAGGGGGAAGACGTGGGTGGAAGGGAAGCTGGAGGATTCTGAAAGGAGAGGGGTTTAATTCCTCATCCCTGAAGTGTCTGGATGCCACAACCCCCATCCAACACCTGAGCCCTTTGCGGGTGGCAAGGACCCTTTTCTCTGAGGACGCTGCCTATTGTCCTTGTCACCACTGCCCAGGACAGGCTTCTCAGAGCACAGAGAAGGTCCAGACTGTAGGGAGGGACCCTCACCTCCAAGTCTACACCAGGATGGCCTAGCCCCAAACTACCTCACAGCCCTAAACCAGCAGATCTTATGCTATTTATTGGCAAAAGGGGCAATTGCAGGGACCCCTTCCTGGGCCTGTACACTCATCCCTCTCCACAGGCCCCCCAAGCCCCTGTTCTCTGTCCTTCAATATTCACAAGCCCCATGCCGTGCTCAGTGGGTTGCAGTCTTTATTCTTCATTCTCATTTTCCATCCTGGCAGCACTCTCAGTCCTGAGACTCCCCCTGAGCTAATGTGGGACCCCTGAGCCCTTCACGGCCCCACCCAGACACAGGGCAGGCAGGCAGCACGGCAGGGCCTCCCTCCTCCCGGGCAGCCCTCTGTGGTCCTCACTGGGGCAGACTGGCCGCTTTCCCCACTTTCTCATATTCTAACTTCTTCCCCAGGAGAAAAGTGGACAAGACAGCGGGACAAACTGGGTCCCTCCCGTGCCCCCCACCCCCACTTCCCCTCTGTATCGGCCCCTCCCCAGGCAAATGCCTAGCTGCCCCAGTCCAAACTCACTGAGTCCCCTTCCCCTTCCTCTCCGCCAGCCCCCGAGGAGCCCGCAGCCCTTGCCTCACCCTGCACAGCCTCTGCGCCTCCCGCTTCCTGATGCTGCTTCCTGATGCTGCTTCCTGATGCTGCCTGCGCTGTCTCACCTCCCTCCTCTGCACCCCGACCTGACCCCTTATCTAATAGTAAGTGAAAAGCAGGAAGCGACAGCAAAACATTCTCTCATTCTGACCCCCTTCTCACCTCCCTGCTGATGAAAGGGTGGGGAGGAGAGGGAGAGAGAGAGAGAGAGAGACTGAGGATGGAACAAGAGTAGCAGATCAGAACAGCTCAGAGATGGAGAAGCACCTGCCGGAGGGGCTCTGCCAGGCAACAAGGAAATGACAGAGGGCAGAGGGCAGGAGAGCTCAGGGTCCAGCTGAAAGGAGGGGCAGCAAGGCTGCCCCTGTGCAGGCGAGTAGAGGCTGGCAGGGCCCTGGGGCTAGCTGGGGGTGGCAGCCTTGCAGATAGTCACATGGCCCTGTGGGCAGGGTCGGAGGGAGAATGGGCCATCAGGTTGCTTGTCCTCCCCACGTAGGTCGGGCTATGGTGCGGGCAGGGCTGTAGCTTTGTGTGTTTATCTGCAAGGCTAGAGAATGGGCAGCTGCAGGAAGATGGTGGGAGGAAGGGCAGGGGATGGAATACCCACCCTGGGGGTTTGTCAGCTGCTGGGGCAGGAAGCTCCTCCGAGTAAAGGTGCCTCCTCCAGACACAGGTGTGTGGGGGGTGGGGGGCATGGGGAAGGAGAAGAAACTGGGCTCCCCTGGAGTGTCCTGGAGCTTCCCTGAGCTTAAGCTGCTGGGTGACAGGACTCTCCCTCAGATCTCCGCACGGGGGCTTCTCCAGCTTGGGGGTGTGGTTTGGGAAAGGCTGTGTCTGTGTGAGTGGCTAGTGGTCCCTGGAGGCTTGGCAGAAAAAAAGTGACGGGGCTCATTGGGATTTGAGGGGAGCCAGTACAGGATAGGGACCCAGAAGGGCTTGCAAGGGCAACTGCATGTCCCTCAGGTGACACCTGTGGGGCCTGGCAAGGACTGGCTGCTGCCGCTCCTTCCCCAGTCCCTTCCTGTGTGGCTTGAGGATGGGCCACCCTTCCCTCAACAGGGACAGTCTTCAGAAAGATGGCCTCCCTCAGGAAACCCCTAAAACAACCCCAACCCTACTCTGCCTCCTCTTCTACTGTGCACATCCCTAGCCCATGGCCAGCTTTCCAGATGGACCAGCTGCTCCAGAGAGAAGCTCCACCCTCCTGGCTACCCCCACTCTCAAGTCTCCAACTTCTCCAAGAAGCATTCAGGAGGGCAGGGTCCACCCTGGAAAAGGTGGCTCTCTGGAGGGCGTCCAGGCTACCCTCGTGGAGGACAAGAGGGCTTGGGGGAGGGGAATATTAGGTTCTCTGACATACAGCAAGTATGAAGGGATCAGTGAGCAGCGTGCTGGGCACATGGGCCTGGGGGTGTGTGGGAGGGAACACCGTGGGGGGCTTCGTGTGCATGGTGTTAGTCTGAGAGCCAGACCTTGGAGGGCAATCAGCTGGGGCAAGGCAGGCTGGGGCATGGGAGGAAGTGCTGCTGCCTGGTTAGGTACTGGAACAGTGGCATTACCCATGCTAGCAGTAACTTTTAATTGTATCTCTTGAAATTGGTAAAATGGTGAGTCGGGCTGGGGAGGCATTGATTAATACCTGAGAAGAGAAACAAGAAACGGTGAGAAGAAGGACAAGTGGGGCACAGAATCACTCACCTGGGCAACCAGGCCTCCACTTACCTCCACTGCGCTCTCCGAAGGCCTCTCACCCAGTGCAGCTTCCCTTTTGGCTTTGAATACAAAGATCACAGGGCTCACTTTCCACCCTCCCAATATAAATCCCTGCCCCCCCCCCCAAACTGCACATGCCTGCAACTAGAAAGTGTGGCTGCTGAGAAGGAGGGCCTCACCACTCCTGACAGAGGCAGCCAGGTCAGTGGACTGTCGACTGGAGCCCAGTTCTCCCACTTAATACCTGTGTGACTGTGGGCAGTCCTGCCTAGAAAATGAACCCCGGCTTGTGTGCCCTGCCCTGCATTGTGGTCCCTCGAAGCACCATGGCCTCCTGGCCATCACTGAGGGTTGCGGATCTGCGTGAAACCCACTGGAGTTTCTCAGCTCACACTGATGTCTCGCCAGGACCCTGGATCTCCAGTGCTGGGCACGGGGCACCCAGCAGACTCTTGGGAAGTGTTTGTTACATGTAACATAAGTTCCCGAATTGACTAACGAGTGCACAGTTCTGGGTGGTTTGCTGGGGGCTTATTGGGAGGGGGTTTCACTCTCATGTCACCTCTCCTTCTAATTCTTTTTCATTCAGGTGAAGGTGGAGGTAGATCTCCCTTGCTCCCAGTAGGGTGGGTAAGGGGAGGAAAAGGCACAGGAAGATAAAAGGTGTCAGAGGGAGGAAGGAAGCAGGCCTAGAGGATGTGGCCAGAGCAGGTACAAAGCCTAGAGCTGGATTCATTTGTCTGGACAGCACCCCCAGTGAACCAGCAGTCTTCAGAGAGCAGGGCTGCATGAGGGTGGAAGATACCTCACCGGGAACAGGATTATCAGGACTCCCAGCCTAACTCCTCCAGGCAGGACAGTGATGGAGCATGTGGGACCCGGCCCTAGAGCATCTCTCACCTTCCTTCCTACTCCCACAGCTAAGGCCCCAGGAGATTAAAAGCCTGGAGCTCCTCAGCAGGAAGGATGGCCATGGAAATTAGCGCTTCCCTCACCCAAATCTCCCAGGAATCCAAGCCCAGGGGCCACAAGTGGCCTCCATGCCACCTGGGCCCCAGCCATCTGGGCCTGGGGTCTGCAACAGAGAAGAGCCACAGCTCACCTGTAGGCGATCCCTGCTTCAACTGTGGGTCCACCAGGGCTCCTCCAGACTTGAAGGAGAGTGTCTTTGCTCCCTGCTGCTTCTCCAGCTCCCCTAGGGAATGGAGAGGCTCATGAACAGAGAGAAACCCTAAGCTCCACCACACGGAGGTGAAGAAGAAAACAAGGAGACACAGCAGGAGGAGGATGCGTCCCTAGCACGTGCCACAGAACATGAGCCTCAGACTCTGGCCCTACTGCACGGCAAGTTACATGCCCTCTAGAGCCTTTGTGTCTTCATTTGTACACAGGATGACAGTGTCTGCCTGAATGCCAGACAGGCAGTAGAGAAGTTAAGATGAGGAAGGTGGGCTGTATGGGTTTGAGTACTGGTTCTGATACTTTCTAGCTGTGTAGCTTTAGGCAAGTTATGGAACTTCTCTGTGCCTCACCTTAGGGACAGCAGTGCCCACTTCAAAGTGTCCTTAAGGGGATTTACATAAGGAAATACATTAAGGCACTGAGGAGGCTTGTAGCAAGTACTCAATAAACACTAGCTTTTATTACAATGTGTAAGAACCACTTGGCACAGCAGATCTTGGCAATGGCCACTGCCGTCTGACCTGCTCAGCGTGCTTCCTGTGGCGCTGAGCCCCCAGCCTGCTGTGCCTGTGCAGGGTTCAGAGCTCTCCCCAGGAGAGGCCCCCTATGCCCAAGGGCCTGTCAGTGCCACAGACCTGTGTGGCCCAGGCTTCTGTCTTGGTACTCAATTTCACTGTCGCTCTCTAGACTGCAAATCCTTCCCTTCTTGTTCTCTGGGTGCTGCTAGTTACCATCCTTGGAGATTACCATCCTTGGAGCCAGTTACCATCCTTGGAGATTTGACAGTCATTATTAAATCACTCCTTCAGCTTCTCTTTTCCAGGAGACACAACTCAAGTTCCTTTTATTAAAGCTGTTCCCCCGGGTCCTGTTTTCTGCCTCGCTGGTTGTCTGTAGTCCAGGAACAGCACACTGCAACCTCTCAACCAAAGCCATTTGTCCTGATTGCCTGGATCACAGCACAGCATCAATCAGTGTGAAGCATTTCTACTGAACTGAGATGTGCCCCTCTCCCCACAGAGCGGCTTTCTTGACTTTAGAGAAATGAGCAAAGAATCCAAGGAACCTGGGTGCAAACATTGTTTTGTCATTGACTTGTGAGCTTGGGCTTCCTCCTTAGGCTCTGTTACACTCAGTTTCCTTATCTCTAAGATGAGAAAACTACTACTCACCTTGTGGAAAGTTGTGGCAAGAATTAAATAACACAATAGGCTCCACATTCAGCACAGGTACAGGCACAAAATTGGTGCTCAATACAGAGTCGCTGTTGCTGATTTTCATTTTCTCCTTCCTACTTGCCTCCTTGCCCAACCCTGAGCCTTCCCTCCACTGCCCCTCCCCTTTCTCCCCATCTGAAGACTAAGAGCTAGATGTAAGCCTCTCTCCCTACTCCCCTGCTCCCTAGACAGCAGGAGAGGATATTCACCACCTGACATGCATGTTCTGGCAGTATCTGCTCCTTTGTACTCTGGGGAGATACACAAAGTGCTGTTCCCAGGCTGATGGGGAAAAGGTGCTTCTTCCAGCAATGCTGGTGCCTTGTGGGCTCACTGTGGCTCCTCATGGCTGTGTGGAGCCGCCTGTGACATTTGGACAATGAGAGAAATGAAGCTATTTCAGGGTGTGTACTTGAAAATGTTCAAGATCAACAGCAGAGGTTGCATCTCTGAGCATCCAGCCCAGTCCTCTCAGAGTCTGCCTGTTATACTTGTGAACTCAAGTGCACCAGTGGTGCAGAAAGTGGGTTCACCTGTCCACCCAAGCAGTTATGGGAGGCATATAGTTGGTGGGATGTTTTTATTGTTTGTTTTAACTTGATTTAGTTTTGTTTGTTGGTTTGTTTTGGAAACTATCAACAAAACCTCTTCTGTCCCTTCCATAATGAGAAATACATGAACCTCAAAGTAGACTTAAACGCACATTCCATTTCCTTTGCTTTCGATATGCATGACCTTGGACCTATCCCTTAATCTCTCTGAGTCTTATCTGGCACATGAGGACAAAGCACCTACTGTGTAGCATCACTGTGAGGATTGGCAGAATAGGAACTCACTGCCTAGTGCAAGATAGGTGATCCAAAACAGCAACTGAAAAGCTGCTCTCCACCATCCAGCTCCCTGTTCAAAAACCCTCTGCCTTTCTGCTGCCTAATGGATTTTTATGAATTTAGAAATACTTTTCAACTAAGTAGCCATATAAGGCAGAACTGCTTCTGTTTTACTTTCTGAGTTCATTCTTAGTTAATTGTCTTAAGGGCTATCTGAAGCCTCAGCAGTGCTTAGATAATAAAAGCTTGCAAATGGGTATAGGTTGTAGGTCATTGCTGTCCTTTTCTTAAGCTGGAAAGCAACCAGTAAGCCACCCAGATGTATGAAGAAACCCATGTTTTCTAAAATGCCTGAATTGGAACAATCAGGAATCAAGGCTTTGCTTAGGAACAGAAAGACCAAGATGATGGACAGTCAGAACACCAGCCTGGGCTCTTCTGAAAGATAATGTTATGAAAAAGTAAGTGGGGGGATTAGTTCAGATGAAAAAAGATGGGAGAAATGAAACAACCAGATGTAGTATGTGAACCCGGACTGGGTCCAGGGGAAGAAGCTGCACAGGGAGCTTGGTGGGAGAGACGCTGGGCCGCACTCTGGTTTGCATTTCTGCCTTGATTGGCTGGCCCAGTGTCCTGGTCCTGCACAGTGGAGTTCTCAGCTCTGAGGGGCTCCTGGCAGCCCCATGTGTGCATGCTCTAATCTACCTCACCATAACTATGGAGAACAGAAGGACATTGCGCCCACGGAGACCATGGTGGTGCAGTGAGCTGGGGGAAGTTCAGCATGCAGGAGGGTCCTTAGCTCACCCCACACTCACTCCAAAGTGGGGGAAAAAGTCAGAGCCCTGTCTGTCTACAAGCTGACTCTGTCCCTTGCTGACTGGGAGCTGGCCCGCCCTCCCTGCCAACTGCCTCAGAAAGCCTGGAATGCACTGTGTCCTTACATTCTATCCGGATCTGCTCCAGCTCTGTCACCTCTGCAATGGACTCCTTCAGGTCCTCCACAAACTTCTGCATCTCGTCCGAGCCCAGGGCACAGAAATGCAGCACCTGCCTCTTCTCAGAACCCAAGAGCGGGGTCACCAGGGTGATGCCATGAGAGTAATCTAGAAACCAGACCCCAGGCCAGAGGTCATGAGCAGGAGGTGAGGCAGGAGCCAGTTCAGCATGCTCACCCCTCCCGTATCTCTGCAGCCCTCAACTTCCCCCAACCATCCCCTGCCTCATATCTGGTCCCACCCGGACTCACATTCATTCTCAAAGAGGTGGAACTGCATGCCCAGCAGGCCAACTGACTTGCAGAAAGTATACGTAGAGGAGCTCTTCTTCTTTGGGCAAAGTTTGAGAATCTGTCCAAGAGAGGGAGACAGAGATGCACTGGTGGGTGTTCACATGCATGTGGCTGCATGAACTCCCATGGACAACCCTGAACTGATAGGCAAACACACGCAAAGATACATGCACACACATTTATATACTTAGGATATGTTCACACTTATGTGCATATACACCTGTTGAATACATCTACACATGCATACACAATCAACACCCACTCTATCAAAATATGGTTCTTTTCCTGCATAAAGCAGTGGCTATTCCCACTGCTCTTAGAAGAAGCCAATCCTCACTTTCTGCCCCACCGGATCTGGTCCCTGTCTTACTCTGGCTCCTGCTGAAGCCACACTCTCTTCCTTTATGTAGCTTGAACAGGGCAGGCTCAGTCCATTGCAGACCCTTTGCTCACATTACTCCCCTTCCACAGCTCTCCCTGAAGCTTTCTGCAAAAATGGGCTACTCTCATTACTTAGATCTTACACAAAATGCCACCTCCTTACAGGCTCTTTCCTTGACGATCCTAACTAAAAAACAAAAAAGTCCACCTTAACACCAGTTGTTGTCTATCCTATCACTGTGTCACTGTCTTCATAGCACCTTCCTCTCAATTTGATACCACCTTCATTGTTTGTTTTCTTACTTATTATTTATCTCCCTTCTCTACTAAAATGAAAGCTCTATAAGCTGGTTGCTCAATACGTGAATATTTCTTGAGCACCTTCCATGAGCTGGGCTCTGGGGATCCAGGAAAGCAAGAGACGGGGTGCCCAGGCCTCAGGGCGCTACTGCTTCAGTGGAGGAAGACCAACACAATAAAAACAAGTAAACAAACAAAAGCTAAGGTGAAGGAATGGAGAAATAAGGCAATTCTGGAACTGAGAAGTATTCTGAAAAAAGTGAAAGAGTAAGGATTAGACAATTATTGGCAGGCTCCCTTGCTAGGTGGCCAGGGAGGGCCTGTGTAAGGAGGTGACGTTTCAATTGAGACCTGAATGAAGACAGGGCAGAGGTATGGAAAAGGTTTCAGGGTGGGGGTAGGTGGGATGAGAGGGAGAGATTTTCAAGCAGGAGCAGCAAGAACAAAGGCCTGAGATGGGGTGAGCCTGGCCCATGGGAAGCAGGCTGAGGGCAAGGTGCCAGAGCAGTCAGGAAAGAAGTGAGGGCATGAGGTCCAAGGTCCTGCAGGCAGCAGGCAGGGAGGTAGGAAGTCCTTCTCCTGCACAGGAAGCAGGGTCAGGTCTGAAGCATGACAGACAGGCCTGACTTGCACTCTGGAAGGATCACTCCTGACTCTGTGGCAGATGGACCTTAGCACACGATCATCAGATTTGGGATAATTTTAGAGGTGATGCCTCTATGACTCACATATAGAGAAGATATGGGGTCTGAAGGAAAAACAGAAAACAAAGCCTGTTCACCACTGCTTCCCAGCACTTAGAACAATGCCTGGCACATAGTAGACACTCATTAAACACATGCAGAATGGATGCCTGTTTTCAAAGACCAAACAATGAGTGCCATACAGATGTGGACGCACACAGATGCAGGTGTGAGCCCATGCACACTCACACACCAGCATCCCTCCAGGCCCAGGAACAGTGCCTGCCCTGCTTAGGTCCAGCAACCAGCACTATATGCCCCACAGTGGGACATGAAGCCCATCTCTGTACCCTGCCTGCCCCAGGCTTCTATAATATGGAGAGAAGGAGGGTCCGGAATCTAATTCATTTCCAACATGACTATGGAAGTGACTTAACCTCTCTGTGTCTTGGTTTCATAACTTATGAAGTAGAAATGCCCCTATCTGCTTGAGCTACCTCACACCCAATAATGTGAAAATGTCACCAACAAGGTAAATCAGCCACTAAGTACATAGCATCCTGTGTGCAGTCTGGGAGGGCCCCTTCTACTGCTCTTTGCCAAGGCCAAGCAGGGCAGCAGTGCCCCGCACCAGTCTACTCACCACCAGCAAGTCATTGAAGAGGAACACCTCCCTCTGATGTGCAGCCTGCTTCTGCAGCTTGTTCACATCTGTCACCTCAAAGAGCCGGCTGCAGCAGACCAGGCGGCGATGGGGCACTGACAGCACCTGGGGAGGGGCCCGAACTCAGCAGGTGACACCAGAACTCCCAATCCCCCATGCCTGCACAGCACCCATGTCCCAGGAGAGCTGACAGAGGCCTGGGGTTTATTATAGGGCCTGAACTTGACCCTAAACTTCCTTTCTTCTCACTGGGGCTCTTGCCCCCTCATTGTGTTCCTTAAGGAGCAAGTTTGGCTCATTATGCTGGAGTAAAGGAAGAGGCAAAGAGGTGGGAAAGACAATTGATAAGCACCTTCAGACTGTTGATGCCCAGTTGCTGTCAACCCATTTCCCACCAAGACCTTCTTGAGACCTCGGCCTGCAGGATAGCACCCACCTGCACACCTAAACACAAGTGTGCAAGAGGGAGGGGACTACAGGGACATCTTGAATCTGCTCCAGGGTATAAAACGGTCTGCTCCAGTGCTGTCTGCAAACCCAAGAGATGCTAAAACCTTAGCAATACAGGCTCTGGGCCCTGGCCAGGTGGCTCAGTTGGTTGGAGTGTCATCTTGTACACCAAGAGGTTACAGGTTCAATCCCAGTCAGGGCATACGCCTATATCACAGATTTGATCCCCAGTTGGGGTGTGTACAGGAGGCAACCAATCAATGTTTCTCTCTCTCTCTCTCTCTCTCTCTAAATATCCTTGGGCAAGGATTTAAATATATATATGGGCTCCAGGGAGAAAAGGGCCATCGTTACACAGATTGGATAGAGGAGCCAGTGCACAGCCTCAGATGAGGTCTCCAAAGGGACCCCCAGCAATTCAGGGAGGAGCAACTGGAGACGGACCCCAGAACCCACTCCACACCCTTTGTGCTTATGGCATAAAGAACCTCCGATGTCATGTAAGCAAAGTAGTAAACTGCAGAGAACACTCACCTTAAAAATCAGTGCAAGCTCACAACATATTGCCTAAGACACAGGTCACAACTAAGGGGTGCCCCAGTGATTCGAGACGCCACAATCTAAATTGTACATTAGCCCATTTTCTGTGTTCTATCCAGTAGGACCAGCCAGGACTGCCCAGTGTCCACCCCATCCTATACCTCCCTGGCTGGCCACGTGGATGCTTCAACTATAGAGCCCTGTGCAGCATTGCCCAACACCTCACCTCAGTCTCTCCTGCTGCAGCAGCTGGGAGCAAGAGGTGATGAGGAAATGAGGCAAGGGTACAGTACACAGTAGGGACTCAGTAGTTACTAAGTGTATGAGTAATATAAAAGTGTTTTTGAAAGGCAAGGAAGAGAATGGGAGCAGATATCAGGAAGAAAGAAATGAAAGGAGGTGAGAGAAGGGAGAGCTTAGCAGACACAGGAGAGGATGTGACACCCACAGAAGAGTACTGTTCTGCAGCAGGCACTTACTGTCTTCATGCCCACGATGGACTTCTCCACCTTGGTGACATATGTGACATGGTCCTCATTGGACTTGAGCTCCTTCTGCTGTATCCTTTCGTAGATGCCAACCACCAGCTCCCTGGGGATGTCAGCGCCATCATCCACACCTGGAGTGGGAGAAGGGGGGCAGAGAGGTGGAGGAGGGAGGTGTCAGAGACCTGGAGCCAGAGAAGGGAAGCCGCCTCCCAGACAGAAGCTCCTAAAGGGTGGTCTTCATTTTGCCCTGTTCCTTTTCCAAAGCGTTCAATGGTTGACTCCCCATAGCCATGAAGTTAAGGACAAAGTCCTTAGCCAGGCTAAGCACATTATATCGCTATAATATGGCCCCAACACACATTTCCAGCCTCATCTCCTGCTGTTCCAGAACCTCCACTTCCACTTCCCAGGCCTCTGTCCTCATCTCCAAATATAGCATCCATGGCCCTGCTATATGCCTTTGCCTCTGCAGTCTTCTTGTCTTCTGTGCATTTGTCTAACCTCCCCTCCCCCGCTCTGCCAGAAGAGCATCTTGAAGACTAATGCTCTGTCTTGTTTTCCTTTGAATTTTCACCCCTTCTCAGGTTTTCCCCTCCCTTCCAATAGGGAACATGGTGCTCCATGATTAGCTGTTGACTGGGTGACAAGATTCTTCCCCCACTGGGAATGTGGTAGGAGCTGGACATTGATTGAAGAGGAGCCCCCTGTAGCAATGCAGGTGAGAAGACCCTATACCCATCAACTACTTCATAGTAATGGTATAACTTTGGTAACAAATATTATTAGCAGGAAATATAGCAAGAGGGTATATTAACTGCATAGCTTGGTCAGTTAGAGCATCATCCTATATGCCAAGATTGCGGGTTCAATCTCTGGAAAGAGCACATACAAGAATCAACCAATGAATGCCGAAATAAGTGGAACAACAAATCCATGTTTCTTTTTCACTCTCTCTCTCCCTTCCTTGCTCTCTCTAAAATCAATTTAAAAAAAGTTTTTTTAAAAAGAAATATGGAGACTTCTGCCAAGATGGAGAAGTAGGTGGAGGGTCCACCTCGCCTCTGTGCACAACCAAATCTAAGAACAACTATTTTTAACAGCAGTCACAACCAAGCCACACGGAAAATCGACAATACGGAGTCCAAAGGACAACTAGATACTCGGCTGGACCGGTACGAGGAGCGAGGCCAGCAGCGGAGCAGGTTAGCAGAAAAAATTCCCCGGGCGGTGCGCGGAGCGCACAGGCAACGAGGGCGCTGATCGCCAGTGAGCTGGCTGCCGGAGCGCACACGGAAGAGGCGCGGTGGGTCGGTCGGTCGCGCGCATTTACGTGCGGAGAAACCAGTGAGAAGGGAAACCCGGCGGTGCAGCAGGCTCGCAAAATTTAGGATCGGATAAGCAAGCCCGAGGCGTTTGAGTGTCTGGATGCGCTGGGCTAGCGGAGAGGAACGCCATTGCTCCCTCTCTGACCCCGCCCCCACACACAGCGTCACAAACCAGCGACCTGGGTCGCCCCGTCCTGGTAAACAACTAAGGCTTCGCTCCGCTCACTTAACAGCACGAATAAACCAAAAATGGCTCTAGAACAACTCAGAGCCCCAGAACCGATAGACCTAAGTGATGAAGAAATAGCCAGTCTTTCAGATGCACAGTTCAAAACACTGGTTATAAAGATCCCTTACAGAACTGGTGGATTTTAGTCACAAATTAGAGAAACATATGGAAGCTAAATTAATTGAAATGAATGGTGATACAAAAGATACCAATAGTAATGGAAAGAAAATTGGGACTCAAATCAAGGGAGAGAACCAGAGGGAAGAAAAAAATGATCAAACAGAAAGGAATGAAGAAATAAGAATTCAGAAAAATGAGGAGAAGCTTAGGAACCTCCAGGACATCTTTAAACGTTCCAACATCCGAATTATAGGGGTACCAGAAGGGGGGAAAGGCACAACCACCAGTTGAAAAATTATTTGAACAAATAATAAAGGAGAATTTCCCCAAGATGGCAAAGGAAATAGACTTCCGAGAAATCCAGGAAGCTCAGAGAGTCCCAAAGAAGTTGGACCCAAGAAGGAACACACCAAGGCACATCATCATTACATTAGCCAAGATTAAAATGAAGGAGAGAATCCTAGAAGCAGCAAGAGCTAAGGGGGACAGTCACCTACAAAGGAGTTCCCATCAGACTGTCAGCTGATTTCTCAAAAGAGACCTTACAGGCAAGAAGGGGCTGGACAGAGGTATTCCAAGTCATGAAAACCAAAGATCTACAACCAAGATTGCTCTACCCAGCAAAACTTTCATTTAGAATGGAAGGACAGATAAAGTGCTTCTCAGATAAGACCAAATTCAAGGAGTTCATCATCACCAAGCCCTTACTATATGAAATGTTAAAGGGACTTACCTAAGAAAAAGAAGATAAAAAAGATGAACAGTGAAAGGACAGCAAACTCACAGTTATTAAGAACCACACCTAAAACAAAAGCAAACTAAGAGGATAGCTAGATCAGGAGCAGAACCATAGAAGTGAAGATCACATGGAGGGTTAGCAACAGGGGAGTGGGAGGAGGGGAAGGGGGGAGAAGGTACAGAAAATAAGTAGTATAGACAGTAGATAGAAAATAGATAGGGGAGGGTAAGAATAGTAGGGGAAATACAGAATCTAAAGAATTTGAGACACATGTTCATGAACTAAAGGGGGAAATGGTGGGGGAGGGGTATGCAGGGTGGAGGGGAAGGGAGGGGGGAATAGAGCAAATGTAATGGCATAATCAATAAAAAAAATAGTATAAAAAAAAGAAATATATCAACATGAAAACAAATTTCTTTGGAAGCAGAAATAGAGGCAATAAAAAAATCTACTTTTTCTAAATCTTTAATGACAATATGCTTTTTTGATCAGAGGAAAAAATGGAAAATAAAGCAACTTTGGCAAGTGTCTTCAAAGGAGTTTTTGTACCACTGAAAGGACATTCACCTTCTATGAGCAACTCTCTGTATTAACTCTGTTTCTTCCACATCTGTACCTGGTTCTTTTTTTTTTTCCTGGAGATTTTATTTATTTATTTATTTATTTATTTATTTATTTATTTTTAGAGGGAGAGTCTACCAATTGGTTGCCTCTTGCACACCACCAACCAGCACCTGACCTGCAACCCAGGCATGTGCTCTGACCAGGAATTGCACCCGCAACCTTTCATATCACAGGTCAGCACTCAACCAACCAATCCACACCAGTCAGGGCTATACCTGGTTCTTAAAGGCGAGCTAATGGGCCATGTGGCACCTCTGGGGGCATGAGAGAAATCAGGCTGGGGGCAAGAAAAAGCAAGACTCCAGACTGAACACACAGAGGCTCCCAGGTAAAGATGGCAGGTTGAATACCTCTTCATGAATATTCTGGTGAAAAGGAATTTTAAAAAGAGGCTACACCCACAAAGACAAAGGATAAGGAAGAAGCAATGGTACCATGGGGCCTGAGAAACAGAAGAGTGAATGAATGAATTAGCAAACCTAAGAAACTGGACACAGAAGCATGACAGCTTTGAAGAGTTCTAGAATTGGTGGCAAAAGGATCTCTTAAAGTGGAGGTGAAGGTGAGCTCAAAATAGGAAAATAGGCTGAAAATCTAGAAAACATTGAGATTTCCCTATTTCTTCCTCCACTGCAGCAGAACACTGAAGGTTAATCCTGTGGGAGGGGTAAACCAAGGAACTTGGGGCTGCGGGACCCCAAGCCCAGCCAAAGGTGGGAGTCTGTGCTGGATACTGGAGGATGGAACTGATGTGTATGTATTAAGAGACCCCCTCAACCCTGTGTAACTGCAAAGATCTCAGGATGTTGGCAACAAGACTCATAGCTTCTGGACAACAGATTGGATATGTCTTTTCTGGAGAATCAACCAGCACAAGAGGAAACATCTAAAGACACCACAGTAGGGGTCCCCCAACAGAACAGCTCAACTAAACCAACCCTATGAGAAAATCCACCACTCCGCAGCCCTCCTGTACTCAGAGAGAGTTTAATCAGTTGTTTAGTGGCTCACTCTTAAATATAAATGGACAACCAAGTTCTATCAACTGCATATGAGAAAGAAGTATGGGGGAGACAGAAAATGGAAGTCAGAAGAAATAGAGGCAAGCGGGAAGAAACTGAAACAAACAAGTAAAAACATATTATCAATGTCTTCAGGGACATATAAGAAGATATTGCATTTATAATACAAAAGTAAAATGCTATAAGAGTGGAACATTTAGAGAACAAAAAGAGAGTTATTGAAAAGGAAAAATGTGATAACAGAAATGAAAAGTTTAGTAGGAGACTTCAAAGGTAAAGCTGAGGGATACCTTTCAGAAAGTCAACAGGAAGACAAAGACAGCAGATAAAAAACCATAACAATTAGAGAATCAAACTAGGAGATGTAATGTCTGAATAAGAGTTCAAGAAAAACAGTACAGAGAAAATGGAGGGGGAAACAAATATGATATTTAGAAAATGTCCTACAATTGGAAGACTTGTGTTTCTAGACTAAAGCAACAACCCGGTGCCAGTACAATAGTTGGAAAAAATCAGAACAAAAGTCACACACACAAAGGACACAAAGGACAAAGAGAAGAGCCAATTCGTTTTCAGAGAAAGCGAGACAAAATAATAGCCAAAGGCCAAGAACTGGAACAATAGAGAATTCTTAGTCAATTAGAACGATTAGTCAATGTTGATGAAAGGACAGAGTTTTACCCTTGGGCAGGGGTATTGAATGGAAAGGAACAGGAAAGAATGTTCTGAGGTAAGGATAGAAATCTCTATTCAGCTCTGGGTATGATTATATAGGTGTATAGGAATATAAACATTTGCCGAGATCTCAGATTTCTAGACCTTACAGTATGCATTTTTATACCAACAAAAACATGAAAAGAGAAACAGAGGGAAGCATGTTGTTTAGTGATGTAGAGGGCAACTCAATAGAGAGCAAGAAAAAAGTAATTACCTCTAAGAAAGAATGGTAAGAGGGGCAGAACTAATTATTTTAGTAAGTTTTGTAGAGTTATTTGACTTTATTAAATTATGTTCATGTATAACTTTTATTTTTAAGATGCTAAAACAGGAAACAGTCAGCTGAGCACATACCACACCCTGCCAGTCTTCCTCAATGCCTGCCGGGTGGCACACTGCGTCAGTTAGAGGGGGACCTGGTTGGTAGGTGCCATATGTCACCTGCAGGTCTGATTTAAATGGACCCAAAACTTAAAAGCCCTCATAAGTTGTGTAGTGGGAAGGGCTGTACCACCTAGGCAGCAGCTATGGTACCAGGGGCCTGGAGGTAAGCCAATGGAGGACAATCCGTGCTGGGCAGGGGGCACTGCCCAGGGGCACTTGCTACTTGGTACAGGGCAGTGGCAGTGGCTCCTGGAAAGTCCCCACATGCCTGGAATGCAAGCAACTTCCCCAGGCTGTTGTGTGTGGCTAGGCCCAGGGAACAGTATTCAGTGCACTTGGCTGGTGGAGTGACAATCTACAGCTGGATTCAGAGGCACAGAAATAGCACTGAACAGAACAGGCCAGAGCAGTGGCCTCACCCGCCTGCCCCCACCTCCTCACCTCGAAGGTTTCGGATGAAGTCCTCTAGCATCATCTTCCTGTCAGGCTTAATATTAGGGCTGTACATGTCAGTGTTGAGGAGGATGATGGCGAAGGCCAGGATGAAGATGGTGTCAGGGTTGTGGAATTGCTGCACCACCTCGGGGTTGCACATGCAGTAGCGCTGGCTGTGGTGGGGGACATAGAGTGGAGGACGAGGTTCCTCCTCTGCCCTCCCCAGCTCCAGCAAGGCTTTCAGTCTGGGCAGTGCCCCCCACCCTCACCATCCCAGCCTCTCCATACTCTGTTGATTCCACCCACAGCCTGGCCTTCTCCCCTCAGAGGGGACAGGACAGGTGTCACACACCCACCCCATGGCACCAGCCCTGCGCAGATGCTCAGTAAAGATCTGCACATTGATGGGTGAGTGAGGTGCATGCAGGCCACCTGGAGGCTGCTCCGTCTTGGAGAGCTTGAGGGCTCTGTCCCTTTTCTTTCCTTTTCTCCTTTCTACCTATCCCACCTCTCCCGCCTCAGCATAAAGGCTTCTCCTAGCCCTTGACTGACCCCCTAGCACCTCTATCCCCCAGGCCCATAGCAGTTCTTCTTCTCTAGCCTCTGCCATATCCCAGGTGTACATTTTGAAGGATGTTTGAAAGGATGAGGGTTGCAGAAGGGGGTGCTACCTGAAGGCCTCTATGAGCCGCTCCACTTTCTGGGCTTCCCCCTGCACACGGATGTGAGCCTGGAACTTGCGCAGGGCCTCATCCAGCTCCGTGCTGGAGAAGTCCATCTCATCTACCACGCAGCTGAGGGCAGAAGGGAGGAGGGTCATGAGGAGAGGTGGCTCCCAAACTTCCCGCATCTCGCTGGAGCTGAGGAGTGAGGTGCAGCCCACCAGTGGCTGGCAGACCTCACCTTGCTAGGGTGACAGAAAGCCTTTGGTCCCTGGGATCAACTGAGAGGGGACTGGTGGGGCCTCCCAGGCCTTACTCACCTGCCAGATGTCTCCCTTGAATAACCTAAGAGACCCTTTCTCATACCTCTCATCTAACATGATGGCCTGAGAGGCAGATGGCTGACTGTTGTATGAACCTGAGGCCCAGAGAGGCTAGCTGCTTGCCCAAGGCCAGCAGGAAGCTGAACCTCCAAAGGCCAAGCCCTTTCTTCTCAACCTCAGAGCATCTTAGGGTCATACATAGGTCTAGGATGTATGTAAATGCAGCTTACTCCTCTATTCTTCCAGAGACCTATTGGGAGTCCACATGTCACCCTAGCTTCGCTTTCTAGGTCCCATTTGGGCTTCAAGGTGGCGGGACCTCCTCCTGCACCACCCTCCAGTTCTGCCATAGGCTTCCAAGTCCTGCATGTGCAGCCAAGGAGCCCCAGCAATCAGAGGAAGCTGATTGACAAGTGACAAATTGGCCTAATGTGGGAGGGGACAGTGTGAAAAAAACAGCCAGACTCTGGGCCTGGGCTGACCACTGAATTTTTTTGTGACTTTGGTTTAGACTCACTTCTTGGAGCATTAGTTTCTTCTTCTGAGAAGGAGGAGGTCAGAGTTCTGCTCCCCAAGGGCCCTTCTACCTCTGAAACACCACATCTAATCCTGGAGAGTTTGCCTTTGAATGTCCTCCTTTGGTGTGTGGGGGCAAGAGGAAGTGGGGGGCACATGCCAGTCATCCCACTAGGCAGTCTCATTTTTTCTTGGCCTGTTCCTGGGGGACCTTCCCTTCCACTGGGTCCTGCCTTGCCCTCCTTTGCCCCAGGACTGTGAGCAGAAAAGGCAGGAATCTAAGCCTGGCTAAGCCACAGACCTAATTCTCGCTGAGAACTGAAAAGGCTTACCCCTACCAGCAAGGCTTTGGGGAGCTGATCCCACCCACGCTCTGTTCCAATCTCCTCTCTCCTGATCATTTTATGCCCAGCCCATCACTGCCCTCTGCTGGTGAAGAGCCCCACTCTGCTCCCAGAGCCCCTGGATTCTCCATTGCAGTGTCGGGACCCCAGACATCAAGATCCCATTCACTGCCTACCTGCCAGCCCATGGAGGGCTTGAGCCCAGTGTGTGGCTCAGGGCCCAGCAGCCAATGGACTCAGAACAGTGGCTGCCTGAGCAGAGGGATGAGCCCTGAGCAGGCCCCAGTCCTGCCATCATCCTGGCTCCTGTGTCAGGCCACTGCTTGTGCAGAGATCCTGACTCAACTCTGGCTCTGCTGTCGGTTTTTAGTGGAAAGCAAGTGGAAATGCCAGGTGGTGATCATGGACCACTCCTTTCAGGGGGACCATGGGGAAGAGAGTGTCCCCAAAGACTCCTAGAGAGGAAAGAGCTGGTAGAGGCTCTGCTTCCCCCACCCCAGGGCAAGGACAGCTGTCTTCACTCTGGGAGCCTGTCCTCATCTTGGTCAAACCCAGCTTTCTCTCAGGCTTGTCCATCTGGGTAGTGTGGGTGAGAGTGAGGTTGGGAGGGGGAGGCAAGAATTGAGCCCGAGCTTGAGAATTGTCAATGCCAGCATCTGGGCATTTGACACAAACAGCTGGGCAGTAGGCACCTCCAGGATTAACCTGGTTTCTTGGCAGCCCTTTCACCTTCTCTAGTGGAATGTGAGCTCTGACATCCACATCCTGGTGCCTACATCTGCACGTCCCCATAGCCCAGCCCAGCCAGGAGTCATAAATCCAGCATGACTGAGCCATTAAAAGGATACTGTCTGTCTGGAGGAGGTGAACCCATCAGTCTCGAGCCAGCGAGACCAGAGCAGGAGGGAGGAGGTAGAGACACAGAGACAGTGGGAGACACAAAGAGTTAAGTGAGAGAACAGACAGAACAAGGAAAGAGAGAGAGAGGGAGAAAGACACTCAAAGAGAGTAAAAGAGAGGCAAAGAGGTGAAGAGGGAGAGACAGTGACAAAAAGAGTGGAGAGAGAAAGAACAACAGAAAAACAGGAACAAGAGGAGAAAAGTAGAAGGGAGGGAGAGAGAGACAGAGGAAGAAGGAGGAGACAAGGACAGGACAAGACAGAAGCAACGATGGGAGTAACACAGCAAAGACTGGCCCTGCTGGGCCTGGCTGTGAAGTGGGGGAGGGGAAGCCACATTGTAGCCTCCCACTCTAGGAACTCCCATCCTAACTCTTTCAAGGCCAAGTGCAAGGGCAATGAACTCCAGCCTGCCCCTCTGGTAGACCCCAGAATGGCCCCTAGTTCCCTGGCCCGGCATCTAACTGCCCTACCCCCCAAGACATGCCTCTGTCCTTTCCCAGCAGGCCCCTGAACCCTGAGGTCCCACACCCTGCACCCTTCATCGGTGTCCCTTTCAGAGCCTCTGTGCATGTGTCCTCTACCCCAGTGCCCTGGACAAGCCCTCAGTCCATGATGAGGAGGCAGGTGCCCAGAGGCCCAGGCACTGTGGGCAGTTGACAGGAGGAGACGATGGAGCAGCTGGGAGAGGGTGGGGTCTGCTTGGCCAAGCACCATGGCCTAGTTTCCTGCTCTTCACTCGGGTGACACAAAGCCAGCTCACTCACTCGGGGCTGCAGCTGAAAGCTCCAGTAATGAGCCCAGAGCCTGAGAGTCAAGGGTTGGAATGGGAGATGCAGCCAGGGGGAAACATAGCCCATGAATGGGGAGTGCTACCTAAATCAGTCACCGCCACAGGGATGACGACTTCGACTTCTGGGCCATGGGGCAGGACAATCTGCACGTCTCATATCTTTGGAAGGAGGCTTATTAAAATGTAGATCCCTGAACCCCACCCCAGACCTACTGATCAGAATATCTGGAGGCAAGGCCTGGGAGTCGGTGTTCTTCAAAGCTCTCCAGCCAGTTCTCACAGATTGAAAACTAATAGCTGAGCTGAGTGCAAGGGAAGGTGGGGGCCCAGACCATGTGGAAGCTGTTAGAATGTGAGCCCAGTGACTCATGGGCCACCAGGGCAGCAGCTCATGGGGCACATGCATCCCCATCAGCTTTTGTGGGGGCTGATTTTGTGGTGGGGATGGCGAGGAAAGATAGACAGTGGTGCAGATAGGTGCTGCCCCCCGCCACACACACAGAGACACACATACTTCATGCCTTCCTCCTTGCAATTGCCACCACAGGGTATCGGTGTTTAATGGGCAGCTGGTGCCCTGGGACTCTCGGATTCCAGGAGGAAAAATCTCAGTGTTTTCTGCAGAACCCCCAGATGGAAGGAAGAAGCTGTGTTGGATGGCAGAAAGGTACTATTAGCCCCTAGCAGACAGATGTCTTCCACGCTGTAGGCTTGGGTTGGACCAGGCGGCCTCTCAGGACTTTCTGCACCCTGACGCTCTCTGCCAATGACCCGAGCAGAGATGGCCCGCAGTCGGTCTCCACAGGCTCTGAAGTTGCTCCAGGATATCAGGACGCTGAGCATCAGTTCTGGTTGGCTTTGGAACACAGTTCACAATGACTGCTTCTCCCACGCCTCCCAGAGAACCTTCCTGGCAGGGCCTGTGCCTCCTGGGGCAGATGGCTGGGCTGAGGCTGCACTCTCTAACAAACCTCAGGGGGCTCCTGTCACCCTGGAATCACCCACTATTTTTGTCCCTCCCCATGGCATGATTTTTTCTGGCCCCTAGGTAGAAACTTCGGCCTGCACCTTGACCTCTGTTGTCTCTCCCTGCTTCTCATCCTCTTCCATTACTTCTATTATTTTGTAGCATCTACCTGCACTTAAATCTCCCCTTCCCTATTCTCTTTGCCACCCTAGAATTCTTGTGGGGGGCAGATTGTTGACAGTTTTTCAAATCCATCCTGTTGCCTCCTCCCAGAACAGCCAACCACCATCTCTCCTCTTAGATCATCTTTAAGGTGAGAAAGAGTACATGTTTCTGGGTGGTATTTTCTGGTGTGTAGCCTCCCCATATCACCGAAGGCAAAACTGAGACCACAAAGGGGCTTGCTCCATGTTCCCACAACTATGAAGAGCAGATATTTTGGCTTCCTGCTTGGGAGGCCTCTCCCCTGCTCTGAACCCTCTTCACTTCACTGGGGCGGGGGTTCCTAATGCTAGTGGTGGGGGATCTCTTCTGTACTCTCATTTACTGAGTACTGTTCTTAATGCCTCACTTAGTGTGTAATGACAATCTTCTCAATCCTGTGATATTAACCATTATCCTGTTATTTTTCTGTCCTGTTATTTTTTATTGTATGTATATAGGAAACTGAAGCTCACAAGAGAGGTGGCTCTGCAGGGGGACTATGCTCATCAAATTCCTTGCTAGTATCTCCAGGGCCAGGCAAGCCTGCCCCCTTCCCCTCTCAACATCTGGCCCTGATGTGTATTCCTGGGGGCTGCTACCTTACCCAGATGCCTGATGGGAGCCTGTGAGGAGTTGAGGGGGGACAACCAGCCACAGCCAGTCATATGTGAGGAGTCACTTCATTGTCAGCAGTCAGCATGAGGCTGTGTGGCCACCCTGCAGTTTCAGAGCCGGCCGGGCACACGGGTCACAGCAGTGGACTAAATCCTTGACCCCCTACCTTCCCCTTTCTGGTCTGCCCTTCCTCCCTCCCTGCTTCCCTTCCTTACTCCTTTCCTCCCCTTTTCCTTTCCTCCCTCCCTTCCTTCCAACATGCATTTCGTACCTCCTGTGTACAAGATGCTATGCTAGGGACCTGGTGTAAGTACAAACAACACAAACACAGATGCTGTCTTGATGAGAGAGAAAAACCGGGTTTAAAGTAATTGTTTCATTTTAAGTGTGACAAGTCCTATGTAGGCAAAAACAGGGTTCTATGAGAGGACAAAGGAGACATATTTTATTTTATATTGGTATGCCCAGAGA